GTAATTTTCAAGTAGAAATTTATATACTTGGTTAAGGGAAAGAAAATTTTTAGTTTTGAGATGCTATCACTACTTATATTAAGTGTTTGACGGCTATTGTTACTTACATTAAGTGTTTGACTTATGGTTTATTATTTATAAGAGTTTTTATTGCTATATATGTGATTTGTTTAGCTTATAAGTCTTAACTTTTATTTTTATTTTTTATATTAACTATTTTTATTTTTAAAAATTATTGTTATTATATAGATATTAAGTATGATATAAGTACATGTAAAATTTCAATTATATAAATATAACTAACATGTTAGTTAAAAAAGTTGATTAAACAGGTTGAGTAAACAGGTCGACTAACAATTTTGAATCCCTATACTTATTATTTCACTTGATATTTATGGATATGTTATTTTCATACCCATTACTTATCCAAACGGATAAGGTTCTTTACAAGTATCAAGTGTACTCATATTCAATACTCACAACCCTATGAGTGATTACATTGATTAGGTTGAAATATAACTTCAGCCTCTAACTAGGATTTTAGTTTTTTTAGGAATTTTTTTAATAAAATTAAAAGCGCATTAATTACGCTTTGTGCAATAAATTTTAGGGTAATGATATTTAGGTCCAAAATATTGGGTTGAAGAGATAGGGTTGAATGATGTAGCTGACCACGTTATTTGCTTACATCGCTTTTCTTTAAAAAAAAAAAAAAAGAATTAGGTTGTCATTCCTAGTTCCTTCCAATTGCTCCTTTCTTCTTGCGTTCCCCAATAACAAATATCATTACTTATTCTCAATTTATTAACTACACCAATGATGCCTCATCTCAACTAATTTTCACCTTCAATTTTCTTTTCGATTGTTCATTAGATTTTCTATGGGGATTTCTACCATTGGGAATTTCCTCTTAATCTCCTTTAGGATTCGTTTTATGGGGATATCTACCAATTGAACTAGTTGCAATTGGAATTGATTACAATAGTTGCTTACCCTCAAAATCGTGTTGTAGAGTTGGTTAATTGGTCATAAAATGTTTCAAGTGGCGCAAGGAACCTTGATTTCATTTGCAAAATTGGTCATTGGTCCAATCAAGATCCTAGAGCTCTCGATTTAAGGAGTAATAAGGCAGAGGAAGGTTTCCTTAGACCCAAATGGATGGTTAACCAAGGTAAATAATATGATTAATAATAGCGTTTGGGTGATATGTGCTATTGAAGTTATTGCTCAAGTTTCTCAAAATGAATTGGTGGATGATCAATTACAAATTTTCAAGTTTTGATGAGACAAGGTTTTGAAGAGACAAGGTTTTGAAGATTAGTCTCTTTAAACTATGCATACTAGGTGTTTGTAGAATTGCCTAAATGGGGTTTTGTTAAGCCTTTTTCTATTAACACATATCTGGAATAGGCTTTTCTTGAAGGTTTCACTTTTTTTGGTAAAGAAAAGAATTCACTTGGAATTATATAAACTAGAAAATACTAATCCTTTATTGAAAATTTGTCATGTTGTTGCCATCACTATTACCCAAGTCTAGAGGAACGGCAGCCTTGTGGAACAACAACCCAACTACCCAAGTATTGAGAGAGTTATGCATTACTATTATCAATAAGAATTTGCCAACAAGAAATTATGTATGTTCATAGATATCTGAATTACTTTCTTTGAATCCACCATAGCAATTGGACTTCCCCTCCAATATGAAATGGTATAATCTAGATTACATTATTCTTTAATTGGAAAGGAACCATCAAGTATGGAATATGTTATAGGTTTCTCATAATTTTGCAAATGAAGAAATGAATAAATCAATTAGATAAACTATAAATAGACAATCAAAAATTTGAAATTATCAATATTGAAAAAAGTAAGGATAAATATATAATTCAAATTGAGATTAAAATCGTTCATTGCTCCATTATAATTTGGATTCTCTTGAAATAGTTAACAAAATTTAACAATAAATAACAGAGTTCTTAGAACTTAATCATAATCATAAACTTAAAAAATGCTATAAATTTAAATGTAGACTATCTTAGAATTTAATCAAGAACTTAAATGTAAATATAAACTGTCTTATAAAGTTAGGGGAAAAGAGAAAATTAAGATGTTTTGGCATTAAAACTGTCAGGATATTTTCCTTGTCTCTAAATTTAAAAATATTACCACTTGACTTTCTTGAGTTCCAAATTCATTACAAGATTTGACATGGTCCTATTTCAAGCTTTTCTTTTTTATCTCTTGCTATATCTGCAACTTTATGATGAACCTGTAAAGAAATGTAATTTGTGATGAAGATATGTGAAAATTTTTTTCTTTCTTTTTTCTTTTAGCTGAAAAAACTCAATTTCTAAAATTAAAGCATCATAATAAAGTCTTATAGAAAATTAAAAAATTAACCAATTAAAAATGACAAGAAATAGGAACACTAGAACAAGACAACACCTAGAGGCTCTAAGGCTAGAAGAAAAAACAACCAAAGGAAAAAACACTAGTAGAGGCATAACTTGAGGAAGGATAAAAACATTTTTCTTTCAAAACTGAAGCAGTGAGAAGTCACTAGCCATGACTGCCTGCAAGGGATAATCAATACATGAAAAACAAATTCGAATATCCATTTCGCTTTTTTTATTTGTATTTTGGTATGCGTTGTATTTTGGTATACATTCTATTTTGTAAGGGGTTATCAAAATTCTAATATCACTTACCATTCTCCTTTTTGCTGGTTGCAAATTAGTTTCATATTTCTTATTTTGATTCTCCTCAATGACTAAAAAAGGAATAAAAGATTGTAAAAAATACAAGTAAATTTATTTAAAACTTTACATTTTGTTTAAGATAATTTTACTATTACCTTTTTCTTGTTTCTTTTCTTCTTCTTTACAATAGATTGCTTTCTTTTTGATGGAGGATAGCCTTTTGCATGTACTTGCAAGGGAGATAGCAATTTAGAAGTTGTTACTTGCTGATGTTCATTACTATCTAACGTAGGCTCCATGTTTGTATGATGATTAATGCTCTCAACATCTTGTTGATTCATAAGTTTTCCTAGCACCTCATCCTTACAATTAACTAAACATTCAAAGTTTTCTTTTAATTTAGCTCCAACGTATGCAATTTTATAGAATTGAGAACACAACTTATCATATCTCAACTTCTTTTCACCAGGTTCAAAATCATAATAGTAATTCGTAATCAAAGCATGTCTATGCTTGATATCCTTTCTCCAACAATCTAGGATTTACTGACATGGAACCTTTTCCACTTTTTTCTCAATCAGTACCTTCACCACATGTCTACAAAGAATCCCTTTGAACTCAAACAAACAACAAGAACATTTAATATCACATTCATCCTCATTGAAACAAACATTGTAAACCACTTTTTTTTTAAAAATGTGCTATCTTTTTCTACTAAAATGTCTTTCACTAGGAGTTTTGATAATGATCTATCAACTACATTAGAAACTAAATTACAATTAACCAAGCTTTGTATCTCATCTTGAAACAATTTAAAAATCTTGTTGGTATAACCCCATTGAAATTTGCTTTGTTTTCATTTCCAATCTTACTTTTCAAAGCATTATCATATTGCTCTGTGAATTGCTTCAAAGATGTTTTATGACCTACATAACCACCAAAAATTGCATTTACATTTTCACTTCTCTAAGTGCTAGACATTCTAGCCTAAAAAATATTTTTAATGTACACTGAAACTCAACAATGTTCAGTATCATATAAAGAATTCAACCACTCATTCTTATCTAGATTACACTTCTTAATCATTTTGCACCATGTTCCTTCAAATTCACCAACTTGAATGGACTCATAAGCAACACTTTTTAAAGCTTTCTTCACTACTTGGTATTCAGCCAATGCTCCAAGCTTTCTTGTAATCTTGCTCATAATATGCCAAATACAAAATCAATGATGAAAATGTGAAAATACTTCTGCTATTGCAGCTTTAATAGCCTTACATTGATCTGTAATAATTGCTTTG